CTCTCTCTCTCTCTCTCTCTCTCTCTCTCTCTCTCTCTCTCTCTCTCCCTCTCTCTCTCTTTCTTTCTTGGTTTGGTTTTTCAAGACAGGGTTTCTCTGTGTAGCCCTGGCTGTCCTGGAGCTCACTCTGTAGACCAGGCTAGCCTCGAACTCTTGAACTCAGAAATCCGCCTGTCTCTGCCTCCAAAGTGCTGGGATTAAAGGCATGTGCCACTACCGCCCAGCAGCTAATTTCTTAAAGTATAAAAAATAATGTAAGCAGTATTCCTCACACACTGCTGTCTAGAATAAAATTCTATATCCTTTAAATTTAGCTGATACTTCACAGTTTGAAACGAGGGCAGACTGGACTGTTGGGTCTGCCCCACAAGTTATAGGTTATAATAGTATCAAGCACTGGGTAGGACTGCTTCATCTAAAACCTTTTAAGAGACAGTGGTTTTTATCAGTGTGTATGTATGTATATGTACATGTATGTATGTAGTTACATGCAAGATATTTTGGCAATTAAGGAGGATTCATATTAAATTTAGGTGAGAGTCAAAGTGAGGTCACACCATTACGTGCTTTAGTAATATTTCTAAAATATTTAAAAATTACTACTCAGAGCAATAGATTAGCATTAATTTTCGTTTTGTTTTGTTTTTTTGTTTTTTCGAGACAGGGTTTCTCTGTGTAGCCCTGGCTGTCCTGGAACTCACTCTGTAGACCAGGCTAGCCTCGAACTCTTGAACTCAGAAATCCGCCTGCCTCTGCCTCCCAAGTGCTGGGATTAAAGGCGTGCGCCACCACCGCCCGGCAGCATTAATTTTCAAACAAAATTATTCACTTATTATCCACAGGTAACAAAGACAAAGCCCAATATTTTTCTTTTATAAAGTGGACTGTCTTTTGGACTTTGGTACTCCGGTAATTCCTGTAGTTGTGGCAGAGCAGCTTAAGGTCTGCCCGAGGTAAAAACAGACAGAGCCTGAAGAGCCTTATCACACATTTAAACAGTCATGTCACTGAACAGTGGGCCATATCTTTTATTTGTCAGGGGTAGCCCTGCTTATACACTGAAGGCCTAAAATCAGCCATAGGCCTAAAATCAGCAGCAGGCCTGTCATACATACCTGCTGATACAAAGTCTTGATCTCTGTGGAAAAACACTGAAACAGATGGCTATAAGATATTGTAAACACGCAGCTTTAGTGGAAATTTACCAGCCTGGATGAGAACAAGTAGTCATGGGTCTTGTGGACAGTCATAGACCTTGGGTAGCCTTGGAGAATAGTACCAATTTAGATAAGGATAAGTGAATCATAGGCGGAGTCATAGTGACCTGTCTCCTGAACCTTTACCCAGCTGATACCCTGTTCTGGAAGATATCTGTACTCCCCCTGAACAGCCATGCTCCGGTGTCATCCCCTTCCCCACATCCTGCCTTTTTGTGTATATAACCTCTGTGTGAAAAAAGTAAAAATGTGTGGTTTGATCAGCCTATAGACAAGCCATGATTCTTTGTGTCCGCCTGTTCCCCCACTTTCTCTTTGAGGTGACCTCCCTAGACCCCTGTTTAATGCCCTGCTGGACAGGACATGTACTTACCTCAAGATCTTGGCTGATTAGCCCTAGGACCACGTCTATGCAAATGAGGGTTCCTGAACGCCCAATGCCAGCACTGCAGTGTGTGATGACCGGGCCAGACCTACGGATGTGTCTCATGTAGGAGATAAAGGTGAGCAGCTCATCTGGCTGCGTTGGTGTATCATGGTCTGGCCAGGCAGTGAAATTCAGATGAGAAATATGTCGCACCTCCCCTGTCTGAAAGCGTAAAACATAGTGAGTTATTAAAGTCACCTGTCCCTAAGTCAGGTCCTTATAGTATTATTTCCATGTTTCGAATCTGGGTGGTATGTTAGATCGGATCAAAAGAAAAGGCATCACAAACGCACAAAGCTGGGTATGCCTAATTTCCAGTATTTAGACGGAGAGAGGAGGACGGAATGTTCAAGGCCTGCTTAGGGTATAGTGCAAGACTGTGACTAAAACCAGCAACAACATTACAACAACGACAACAACAACAGATAGAAAAGAAATACGCAGACTGTATCACCACTGCCCAGTCCTACTGTCTGGGGATGGTATCCAGGCTCTTGGGTATACAAGGCCAAAGTCATACCTAGCTCCTGTGGGCTCATTTAAATTACATGTACGGCAATGCCAATCTCAGAACCTTTGTTCTTTCTTTCCCATTAGAACACTTCCTCCCCCGGGATCCTCCGTGGCTTTATTATCTGCTCCCGTTTTCCTCAAATGCGGCCTCTCAGGCTGTCCTGAGTCGCTGAACACATAGCCTGCATCCCAGTGTCCAGCAACCGTTCCTTTCTCTGATGCATTTCCTCAGCAGCACCAGTCACACGAGCACCCCACACGTAGGCAGCGAGCTCCGTGGGGTATGGAATGGCCTTTGCCTGTTGTTAAAACACTGGACCTGGGGTCCACTCCAGGGTTTGAGTTCTACTGGCACATGTATGATACATGATCCAGTCACTTGAGGAACACTGAGCAGCTAAGCTCATCTGAGCAATGGTAAGCTTGTGTGAATCAAAACATCACATGGTACCTAGGAACACAAACAATTTTTATATGTCAATTAAAATGTTTAGGTTTCATAAAAGACTCAAACCCTGTACACTGTGTAAATAGACCATAAAGGAAATTCTCACATGATGTCAACAAAAGTGAATCAGTAGACTTTTTTTTTTTCTAGAAAAGCTGAAGAAAGCTAGTGGTTAAAGTGCTTGTCACATAAGCATAGAATCTGAGTTTGGATCCCCAGCATCCACAGAAAAAGTTGGGCATCAGGAGTGCCCTTCAATCCCAGTGCTGGGGAGATGGAGCGAGAAGGATTCCTGGGGCAGAGCAGCTCAATCTGTGAGCTCCATGTTCAGTGAGACAGTCTTTCTCTAGGGAGGTGGAAAGCCAACATCAACCTCCAGCCTACATATGTGCATAGACATGCCTATACATCCATGTATACACATAAACACACATATACACATAGAAAGAAAATCAAGAAACATTCAAGAAAGTTAAAGATTCAGTAGCAAACATGGCTGTGCATAGCTCATGTTTCCGGGAAGGGTGTACCAGTGAGGGAATGCCACACTGAGAAAACAGACAGCTGGCTCTCTCTGAGGGCCATCACTAGCTAACGTGCACTGACTTTATCCCGTGTGTTTGACATGTGTGAATGAAGCATGTAAATAACAGATGATAGGGCACAGCTGCCTTCGAGACACGTCTGAATAGCCACCGACTTCTTCAAACAATTTGAGTTAGTCTACTTAGTCATTGGACCTTGTAGGTGTTAAACAAAGCAAGTGTTGTCAGGTGTGCCGGCACAGGCCTTTAATCCCAGTACTTGGGAAGCAGAAGTAGGCTAATCTCTTGAGTTCAAGGCCAGCCTAGCCTGGTGTACATGTTCTGGAATGAGTTCCAGGACAGCCTGGGCTACACAGAGAAACCTTGTCCCCCAAAAATCATCATCATCATGTTTCTATGTACATTACAGCTTATGAACTGTTTTGTACTATTTATTCCTAAGCACAGACTGATGATCATGGTATAAGCCCCATGATTTGTTCTAATACAGCATCTACCAGAAGAAACTGTATGAGGGCCACACTTGAAACTCTACTGGATGCTGGGTGTGGTTTTACAGGATCACACATTCCCAGAATCCCAGTACCCAGGAGGTAGAAGCAGGGGGATCAGAATGTCCAGGTTGGTAGCTGTATAGTGACTTTGAGGTCAGCCTGGGCTACATTAGACTGGGCTCAAAAATAAAAAGATAGTAGCTGACCTGCTTCCATTGTGGCCTCAAGAGGGCGTGAAGGCCTGCTTTCTGAAGAGGAGACAGGGCTTATGAGTGACTGACCTGAATGTCTTCCAGGGCCATCACTCGCACTACGAAGCCCTTCAGCTGCTGCATTCTCAGGAGGGCCAGGCGCAGCCTCTCGTTGGCCATGGTTGTTGTTCCAAGGATGCTCGGCCAGTACCGCTGGCATTTGATCTTTTCTCCTTCCACCTCCTGCGTCATCATTGCTATGACTGTAGAGTTCTGCTCCCAAACCATCTGCCAGAAATCCCCCACGGTGGTGGGCAGAGGCCCCTGGCAGGCAATGTACACGAATTCCTGTGTCCCCACTGGGATCCTGATGAAACTGGCATTGATGTATCCGCCTTCATCTCCAAGAGGTACTCTTGTGGTGTCATCTGTGAATGTCCACAGCGAAAGGGCACATCACCATCATGTATTGTCACCATGAGTTTCACAAAACACTGGAGTCAAAGACCACAATGGCTCCGATGGCCCTTCTTGGACTTGCCATCACGTGCGTTGATGGAGTGCATTTTCAACCGCAGTCCAGGTCGTATTTATGGTTTTTGTTATACTTTATCTAAATGCCATCTTAGTGGCTTTCTATGAAACTTGGGGCTTACTAATATAGAGTAAATATGTATTACTAATGTAGTAACATGTAACTGAAAGTATACATTTAACAAACACAGTAGAACTTGATAGTAAGCAACTAGAGAAACAAACAAACATTGTGACTTCTATGTCCACAGTTAGACACCAGTGTCCAGGGTTCTGAGTGATGGGACAAACTTTCACAGAACAAAAGCTCGCTCTGAAGTGACACTATCAAAGTAGCTGCTAGAGATATGATTGACATCTCTAACCCTTGTGTATACATGAGAAAAACAAACCTTTTATTTGTCATTTCGCATTTATTTGTGTGGTTTTAGGGTGTGTGTGGCTGCCACTCACAAGTATGGAGGACATAGGACATCTTAACAGGATTGTCTCTCTCCCCTTAGTGGCAAGTACCTTTCTTACCTGGCCTCATATTTATTTTAAATATTTATAAATTTAGCAAGTAGTTTTGGTGGCAACCAAGGTAGAACCTTTAAAAATAGGTTTCAAAATTTATTGCTTGACTTTCATCTCTTAGTTTAGAGTTTGTTTCCTAACAATAAATTAACTACTTTGTATTTATAGTTTGCCCTGTTCTGCCTGTAAGATAAAGTCTGCATGGTTTTGGCCCATCTACTTAATGCTGAATTGTGATCTACTCCATTTTAAAACCTTTCTTAGATTCCTTTTTTTCTAGAGACAGGGATTTTCTATGTGGTCTAGGCTGGTCTGGAACTCACTGCACATATAATTAGAGCCATACCAGAATGCACAGGGACATACACACACAGTCATACCCACACCGGGACACACACACACACACACACACACACACACACACACACACACAGGAACTCACAGGGAAGGATATTTTTGTATCTGTTCTTCCTGCGGTTTTCCTTAGTCTGTCCAACCAGACACTGATCCAAAGGTTTTAATTCTTGAAGGTTCTACAAGTAACAAAATGGATATAAGGTTAAATTTGTCAACTAAAGCAATAATTTAGGCAAGAGAAACGATTCTACTGCACTGATTCGAGCTGCAAGTGCTAATGAACACAGATCTGTAAGCTGCTGCTGAGAGAATTAACTGCAGGAACCTTTGACTGGACACGTCACAATCAGCTAACTAACAAGACAGCACTTCCTAACCTATGCCCTAATTTCTATTTAAAACTGTCTTTAATCTTAAAAGAAAAACAAAACCCTACAAAGGCAAGTTTGGCTTAAGGCAACATCTGGAGAATTTTCTTGACAATATCATGTATCGGGTCATGGACCGCAGCGTGTGGTATTGCTGTTGTGGACAGTCAGAGAGTCAATTCTTTCTCCTTCTCATGACTGCTTCTACACATGTGCAAGGCACTGCAGTGAGTGCTGGTGCAGTAAGTGCTGGGAGCACGGTTTAAGGGAAGGCACAGTCTATCTCAGAGAACTTACAGCTCTCAAGAGGCAATATGGGAATCAACACATGGTGATGAGTCTTCTAGAAATTTAGATGCTGGTGGAGGAAACAGAGCTGTGCTTCAGAGGTGCTGGGATGGAGCCCCCCAAACCTTAAAGAAGATGCATCCACTCTACAGAGTGAGACTTAAGGGGAGGAGGCATACACCTCGGGTTCTGAGTGGTCCATGGAGCCTTCAGAGTGCAAGCACATAGCAGCAGCTCTCAGAGACCACCTCCCTTCAGTGCCTAGGAAGGAGCGAGCAGCAGAGCTGGTGGTTTGAGGGAGAGGAAGGTGACCCCCAAGCCAGTGCAGCTGCGTTTCTCCTGCAACACAGGAGCAAGGGCTCCAATCTGGCATGCATATCCCAGTGGGGCTGTGATGGTACAGCAGCTGCTTGTCCCAACTGCAGAAGCCAGAAAGACTTTGAACTCCTGACCCTCCTGCCTTTACTCCCAAGGGCTAGGAACATAGACATGTGCCATTAGGACTAGAACCAGATTTTATTAGAAATTTTTTTTTATTTTTACATATGAGGAACGCAGGAATCGTTAGAAAAATCTGCCAAGTTCTGAGCAGTTAAAATAATCTTGTTAAGTTAGAACCATTAAGATCCTCACTGGGAAAATTAATTTATCATTAGGTACTTTTTAAGACTTGAAAGTTAGCTCTACAGAGTAGTGTTGGAAAATGTGGTGGTGTGAATAAAAATGACCCCCACAGGCCCAAAGGGAGTGGCACTATTAGGAAATATAGCCCCGCTGGAGTAAGTGTGGCCTTGTTGGAATAAGTGTGTCACTGGGGGGTGGGCTTCAAGGTCTCAGATGTTCAAACCACACCCAGTGTCTCACTTTCTTCCTGCTGCCTGACGATCCAGATGTAGAACTCCCCACTATACCTCCAGCACCATGTCTGCCTGCGTGGTGCCATGCTTCCCGTCATGATGACAATGGACCGAACCTCTGAATTGTAAGCCAGCCCGAGTTAAATGTTGTTGTTTTAAAGAGTTGCTGCTGCCATGTTGTTTCTTTGCAGCAACAGAACACTAAGACAGAAAGCAACTGGTATTTTCTAAGAGTTGGAAGTCTTTCCTAACCTTGAACACATTTCCCATTCAAATAAATGCAGGGACCACTTACCTCCAGCTCCTTAGAGGGGATCCCTTGGTCAAGCAAGCCTTGAAGCGTGTGGATGGTGGCCTGTAATTGTGTGCCCGTGTACTTGCCAGAGGGAGGGACTCTGACTACCGGCAGGGCTGCCAGCTCCTCATTCGTCAAAAAGAGGTGATCTATCAGAATGGACCAGATGGCTGTTAGTTCTCTCCAGAGCTGATTTAATACAATAAACAAGCTCACTTGAACCTCTTCTCCCTTCCCACTGTCTCATTAAAAGGGGCCGCCGGCTGGCTGGCTGGTTGGCTGGCTGATGACTGAGGTCCACACAGGTTTTGCTACTACACAGCTACCTCACCACTGCTCACAGGTCTGGAAGGGTTGAGACTCTCAGGTGTTTAGCTTTTGAAAGGAGCATGTGTTCATTTTTGCTTGACTTTAATGGCATCATTTATATGGGGAGAACCTACCCAGTTCCCCTGTTACTTTGCATTGGATTCTAAGTACTAGGGAAAAATGGAGAAAAGAGGTCAGAATTCCCACGTGTCAGGAGATTGTTACTAGTCTAGGAGTTTCCCTTTTCTCTGCCTACTCATTGCCCTCAGTGCTGATTTCCTGGATTTGGCAATGTCCTCCCTGCACAGAGAACTTTTCTTGGGCTATTCAGGAGTTGAATTAAACAGGTACTCTGGAACAGTCTGGGTCTGCGTGAGTACCTTCTGTACTGGTTATTTATAACACAAAGCAATTGTCATCCCAGATAATGTAGGAGACTGCGCAACTCATCCAGCTTCGGGCATGGCGGGGCTGCAGCTAATGGTCATGTGACAGTAACACTGAGCACTTTAAAATAATGAGAAGTCATTTAATCCCAGCACTCAGGAAGCAGAGATAAACTGATCTCTGAGAGTCCAAGGCCAGTCTGGCCTATGTAGCATCATGTGAGACAGGGGAACACAGTGAGACTGTCTCAAAAACCAAAAGCAATGCAAAAGTACTGAGACTTTGTGCTTTGTGGTTTTTGTTTTGTTTGTTGTTGTTGACTTGACACAAGACAGGGTTACCTGGGAAGAGAAAACTTTGAGAACATGCCTCCGACAGATTGGCATGTAGCAAGTCTGTGTGGCACCTTCTTGACTAACAATGGATGTATAAGGGCTCAGCTGATGGTGGACAGAGCTACTCCTGGCAGGTGGTTCTGGGTTCCGTGAGCTGAGCTGAGCAGTAGGAAACAAGCCAGGGAGCAGCAGTCCCCCATGGCCTGTGGTTTGGGTCCTGCCTTGAGTTCCGTGATGGACTGTGATGAGAATGTGTAAGGTGAATACAACCTGTCTTCCACAAGCTGCTTTCGGTCAAAGTGTCTTATCACAGCAAAAGGGAACCTGACTGGGATAGACTTCAGATAATAAAACTTCACCCTTTATGACACTGATAACAAATATGAAAGGAGAACACGAGTTGTGGTGGTTTGAATATGCTTGGTCCATGGTAAGTGGCGGTGTTCGATGTGGCCTTACTGGAGGAGATGTGTCACTGTGGGGGTTCGAGGCTCAAGCTTTGCCCAGTGTCCTGCAGAAGGGAGCCACCATGGCTTGGTCATGGTGTCTGTTCACAGCAGTGAAACCCTAACTAAGACACTAGTGTTTCTCTGCTGGTTCAGTTGAAAATTACATGGCAGAAGGACAGACAGGTACACCCAGAAAAGGCCGGCACTCAAGGGGAACTTCTCTCTCAAATTTCAGATATCTCACCAGTTTTACCCCAGGTAAGGTGAGTTCCTTATTTCTCATTATTCGATAGCAAAATCATGACTTTTAGTTTCCATTTTTAGTCACGATACTTTGTGCTTTCCTCTATGCCACCGACAGCTTTAGGCTCTAGCTATGCAAATAATTTAGTTATGGTAACCAAAGCCAATGTCTACGTGACTTAGCCTTATGTATAAAACCAAAGAGCATATACATACGGCAAACACCATCCATGGATTGTGAAATCATCATTTAAAAGCTTTGCTTTCCCTACTTGCTGTTTTAGATGAAAGAAATTGGTACTAAAATCCTTGCCTTTGCTGGATTCCTCACGGTCTGTTGTCTCTGCTGCAGAAGCTCTGCTTCCCTGAGAGACTTGCTCTTCGATGGGCTTCTCTTCTTGTGATGCCTGAGTTAAGCTACACCAACAAACATACTTGAAATATTTTTGTCTCCAGCATAATTTTAAATATCATGATTCAAGTCACTTAGTTTCTCTACGGTAACTATGATATTGTCATACTGCCTGAGCTGGTGAGGTGGCTCAGCGGGCAAAGGTACCCTCAAGTCTGATGTCCTAGTTTCATTCCTGGGACTCATGTGGAAGGAAAAGAGCTGCCATAGTTGCTCTCTGACCAATACACTTGCAATGCAGCATATGTATTAACACACATACACACTCACACGCCCACACACTCACACACATACACAGTAAATAGATACACGGAAAAATTAAACACTGAAAAAAAAAATCAAGTTCAAACTGGGTATGTTAGCACATGTCTATACTGTCAGCTCCTCTGGAGGCTGAGGCAGTTGAGCCTTGGAGACACCAGCCTGGAAAAATAGCAAGACCTTGTCTAAAATGCAAACAAAAATGACAACAAACACAAGAACTCCTAAATAAGGCCCTGGATCTGATCCATAACTCTTAAAATCATGGTAGATGTTAAATAAAGCGAAGTGCACAGTAGCAGCTTTACTTGAAGACGGGCTCCAGGCCTTTGAATCTTAGACTGAAGGAGTCTCTTTGGGGATGGTTTTGTGTCAACATGGATGTTACAGCTTTATTGGCACCTAACTCATCCTTTCACGTGTGTGCATATGTATGTGTGTGCGTGTGTGTGTGCCTGTGTGTGTAGGAGCAGGGATCTACATGCATATATTGCAAGAGATGTAAGCACTTGCATGTACAGGAGCAGAGGTCTATGTACATATGTGTGTGCTGAGGGATGCATGCACTTGTGTGTGTGCAGGAGCAGAGGTCTATGTGCATATGTGAGAGGGGATGCATGGACTTGTGTGTGTGCAGGAGCAGAGTTCTATGTGCATATGTGGGAAGGATGCGTGCACTTGTATGTGCAGGAGCAGAGGTCTAAGTGCATATGTGAGAGGGGATGCATGCACTTGTGTGTGTGCAGGAGCAGAGGTCTAAGTGCATATGTGAGAGGGGATGCATGCACTTGTGTGTGTGCAGGAGCAGAGGTCTATGTGCATATGTGGGAAGGATATGTGCACTTGTGTGTATGCAGGAGCAGAGGTCTATGTGCATATGTGGGAAGGATGTGTGCACTTGTGTGTATGCAGGAGCAGAGGTCTATGTGCATATGTGGGAGGGATGCATGCACTTGTGTGTGTGCAGGAGGAGAGGTTACTGACAGTTGTGAACTGTAGTGTGGTTGCTGGGAATTGAACCAGGATCCTCTGGAAGAGCAGCCAGTGCCCTTAATCTCTGAACCATCTCTTCAGTCCTAGAAACTATTTTGTTTTCTTTTTCTTTTATCTTTTTTGTGGTTTTTTCGAGACAGGGTTTCTCTGTATAGCCCTGGCTGTCCTGGAACTCACTCTGTAGACCAGGCTAGCCTCGAACTCTCGAACTCAGAAATCTACCTGCCTCTGCCTCCCAAGTGCTGGGATTAAAGGCGTGCGCCACCACCGCCTGGCTAGAAACTATTTTCAAAGAGAGAATTTTTGTGGTGTTTAAAAGAATTTAGAAAAAAAAAGAAAGAATTTAGATCAAGTGTGATGATAAATGCCTTTAATCTTAACACTAGGGAGGCAGAGAATGGCAGATCTCCATGAGTTCAAGACCAGCCTTGTCTACATAACAAGTTCTAGGCTAGCAAGGGCTTACATAGTGAGATCTTTTTTTAAAAGCAAGATAAAAAAATAAAAAATAATTTCCTAACATCCTTGGTTTCATATTATTTGAAATATTATTACACTTTATTTCATTTAACTATTTAATATGTATTTGCACACATGCCACAGTACACAAACATGTAGGCCCTAGGGAGTGAACTCAGGTCATCAGGCTTTGCAGCAGGCCCCTTTACCCACTGTGCCATCTTGTTGACCCTGGCTTCATTTTCTTAGTAATGAAAACATAAAAACTTTAAGCACAGAAAAACAGACAAAAATTAAAAACAAAGAAACACCCATAATCTTAGCAGAAGAATCACTGTTTCTGGCACATTTTCTTTTAGACTCATTAATTTTTTTTCTCCCTCCCTCCCTCCCTCCCTCCCTTTCTCCTTTCTTTCTTTCTTTCTTTCTTTCTTTCTTTCTTTCTTTCTTTCTTTCTTTCTTTTCTTTCTTTCTTTCTTTCTTTCTTTCTTTTGAGCAACAGCTATAGAAAAAAGATGTCAAAAGAATGTACCTGGAAAAAATGTATCTTGGAAAATAATAATCAAGTTGGATGTGATACACACCCTTGAATCCCAGCACTCTGGGAGACAGAGGTAGATCTCTGCCAGTTTGAGGCCAGCCTGGTCAACATACCAAGTTCTAGGCCAATCAGAACTATGTCTTGTCTCAAAAAAAAAAAAAAGAGAAAAGAAAAGAAAGAAAAGTCTTATCTGTATTTAACCACTGCTCCATAATTTAATTAATGTTTTATTGGAAACAAAAATAATCACTCCATAAAAGGACAATGAGTCTCGCACATGCCTTACCTTGAAAGGTTTACTTTTCCTTCACCACCACTCACTGACTACAATGAAGAGAAATAAAAATCAGATTAGTTCACTGTAACAAAGCCAATCTCATAAAGCTTACGTCTTTCTTTGAGTTACTTTTTATGTTGTTACTGTTATTATTCTCATATTACACATGACATTCAATTACCACATTACAAAAAGTGTCAGAGACATCTACAGTGGCCTGTGACATTTTGTTGGTTAATAGTAATTACTTTCTTTGGTTACCTTTACTTAAACTTACTCTTTTTAGGAAACGATTTTTTGTTTGTTTGTTTGTTTGTTTTTTCGAGACAGGGTTTCTCTGTGTAGCCCTGGCTGTCCTGGAACTCACTCAGGCTGGCCAGGCTGGTCTTGAACTCAGAAATCCGCCTGCCTCTGCCTCCCAAGTGCTGGGATTAAAGGCATGCACCACCATCGCCCAGCTAAGGTGATTTTTATAATGAAAATATATCCTAAAAATTAATATAATAAAAGTTTTCTGACAGAAATGTCTGATATTATAGGCCATTATAATGAAGACTCTATATTATATGCTTTTTCTCCTTTTTAGAGAAAATAAATTTTAGATGACAGTTTTTTAAATGCCAGACTTTTTATTCATAGCTTTTAAAAGAGACTTTTAGAATACCCTATTAAATGTCAGATTAAAATGTCAGTTTCAAAATATTGTAGTGAAAATACAATTACATTGTTATGACTTACAAGAGTCACGAAACTCCTCAAAGAGCCAGTGGTATAACTACTAATACTATGATAGTGTAAAAGAATATCTTAAATAAACCCTCAAGACAATGGTATATTTAAGATCGTCAATGTTCGTATAATTTTATGCATTTATATTCAGAAGACACACACAAGCTTGTTGACATCCATCCATACTACATATTTGTAAGTCCATAATGAACATGACCTTGTGTGTTTGATATGGTGTCTAAGTACACATTTGGGTGGTTGAAACTCTGTCTATGTCAGCATACGTCAGCAGTTCTGACACCCTCTCCTTCCCCCCTTTCCTTATGTTTCTATCCACTGAGAAATGACTCAGAGTTTTGTTGGCTGCAGATGACACTGCAATGTAATAAAATAAAACTACCTTCCTTTCCCTCACAACTGTAATCTAACGGTAGAACAAGCCACACCGCCATTTATTTCCCCTTTAGGGTTAAAACAGAATTCTAGCAAAGTGGAGCACCATGGCTGTTCACACAGGTACCATCCTCACCTCAGGGATGTCCTCAGGTAACCGAGACCCATCACAGTTGGTATCTTCTTTTCCTTTTGGTGCCTCCCCATTTGTCCTCAGTGGATCTGGGGGAGAAATGTTCAGGCCAAGAGAAGCTAAGACATGTTCTGAGGCTGCAGCAGTGTTTTTATATAACTGCGTTTACTCATAAAAGGCGACAGTAAACAGACCACTGCAAGGCAGCAATGTGAGCACTCTAACCGCGACAGCCAAGAGTGAGTGACAACAGGATCCATAGTGTAAAGTACTTATAAAGCTTGCCTATGAAGCAGCTTTAACAGTGGCTTATTGTCACCGGAGGGGAGGGTGTTTATGATGATGTATTTATAAAAGCTATGACACCTTATGATACTTCTTGGTTTGCTTTTTAGACTCATGTAATCTAGGCTGGCCTTGAACTTGCTATGTAGCTGAAGATGGTAGTGAGCTTCTAGTATTCCTGGCTCTACATTTCAAGTGTTTCGATTACAGGTGTGTATCACGAAGCCTGGTTCATATGGTGCTGGGCACTGAGCCTAGGACTTCATGCATGAAACACGGAACCTAGATCAGCACTCTACCCTCAGCTACATCCACTACCTCTAATGATACATTGTTAAATCTCATTAATGAGTCAACTCACCCACAAACACATAGAACAGACAATGAATGTTACACAATAAATGTTACCATGTTTCATTTCTGAAAACACTGCCCAGAAATTGATAAGTGAAGAAGTAGCTAATATATTTCAGTTTTACTCAACAACTTTCCCACTGGTGAGCTTGAGCTCTGGGTAAGCTGGCTCACTTGTCTGGTTCCTCCTAACCCCGAACTTGAGCTCCGGGTAAGCTGGCTCACTCGTCTGGTTCCCCCACCTGAAGAACAGGCTCTTCTGTTGGCATGCCTCTGGTTTAAGAGGTTCTGTGCTTCCTCGTCCACAACATCCAGCAAGGACTGGATAACTTCAGCTTCTTGAGGATCTTCATAGATGTCATCATCCCGGTAGTGAGATTCTTGAAAATAGGAATTTATTTTAAAAGTACTGAAGTGAGAAAGGGACAAGTGTCACTCTGAACACACGAGGTACTTTGAAGCCAGGTATTTTGAAGTTTTCGCTGTCTCCTCTGAAGGGTAGACACAGTTTCCTAGTGCTTTTAGTCTAAATGTGCTGGCTGCTGTGGCAACCAGCCACAGCTTAGAACAACTGCAGCTTAGAAGCGATAAATGACAGTCAGTATTGGAGATATACCTTTCCATGAAATATTAACAATTTGATGCTTATTTTATAAAATTAACGTCAAATTTTCTATTCGTGAAAGAAACAAAGATGTTGTCTTCTGAAGATTAAGGATATAACAGGTCATATAAAATATCCTTAATGTAAAATTTCTAAACCATTTGGTAATCTATGAAGCCTTAGGGATGAGAAGAGATGCTGGATGTTTGAGCATGAGGCAATCAATAACACTAGTTTTATATTCTCTTCATTTCCTCAATCTTCCCTTTAAAGCTATATTAGCACGTGTGGTTGACAGGAGGGGATCAGCAACCCATGTGTGTTTTTATACTTTTAGATCATTTACGGTAATAGGATGGCTTATTTGAAAACTACCTTTGGTTCCAGTCAGGTCTCTTGATTCCTTCATCTGAGAAGACAAGCCTTTTCCTCCAGAGTACACAGCTTCACTTACTCCTTCCCCATTAACCTGAAGTGCAAGACCACAGCAAACCACCAGATTACTGCTTTGTTAACTTCTGGGATTGGAGAACTGAGTGTGGCTCCTCCCTCTACCTGCTCACGGTCCACCTTTGCACCCTGCATCCATGTGACTAGGGAACACCGTTGGGGTGAAGTGTGCATAGTGGATATGAGTTCCTACCATCAAGCACATCTGGAATTGTGCTAATTCTTAAAAGAATTGGACTACACAAAGCTTTTACTTGAGATCTATTTTGAGATTTGTCTTCCAAAGAACACTTTATGAAAGTTTAACCCTAGAAGTTGAGAGAAAGGAATAAAATTATTTTTGTTTTTTTTTCTTTTGAGACAGGGTTTTGCTGTGCAGCACAGAGAGGCCCCAAACTCACATTCCTATTGTCTTAGTGCTAGGATAATATGTGGGCCAACATTCCTAGACTTTCCAGTGCAGTTTAACTCTTTTGTGAGTTTATGGACATAACAATGAATTGACAACAATGTGATTATTATATATGCACTGAACTGACGGCAACATTCCAGTGCAGCAGCAGAGGGTGATGTACTTCCAGTACACAGTCTCTGAGGACAGCATGAGCCACAGACCTTAGTGCTGGAGCACCTGCACAGCTGGCTCCAATCCCCAGCACAATTTAAAGAGACACAGCTTCTGGGTTAGGGATTGTGGCACACGTCTACTTCTCTTCTCATGCTGGGACCCTGACTGGTGCAGATCCACATGGGCTCTGCACGCTGCCAGTCTCTGTGAGTGTATACATCTGTCAGTCCACTTCATTTAGAGCATCTTGTCTCCTTAATGGCCTCCATGCCGCTGGCTCTTACAATCTTTCCACCTCCTATTCCCAGGATTCCCTGAGCCCCAAGGGGAGGAATCTCATGAAGACATCCCACTTAGGACTAAATGTTCTAATGTTTCTCACTGTCTTGTCTAGCTGTGTTTGTTCTCAGACTGTAGGAGGAAGAGTCTCTGATGATGGCTGAGGAGGAACTGTTCTATGAGAATTGTAGATGTTGTTAGGAGTCACTTTATGGCTACATTCCTTTAGCATAACAACAGTATTTGGTTTTCCCCTAAGACCCTGGGATATCTTGTCACCAGTTTTATGTCCACGTGATAACCACTCACAAGTGAAAAACTGGCTCACTCCAGAAGTCTCATTGGGGATGCAAACCACTCTTAAGGCCAGGCCCTGTGCCCAGCAGCAGATGCCAACGCAAGTGAACTCAGCAGCATCTCTGGAGGGTCTTTGTCTCCTAAGGCTTTGATAGGGCTCTTTTAATTTAATTTTTATCTTATCTTGCAGCATCTTTTTATATACATTATAGCTTCCAGTTTTGTAATTTTAAATGATACCAGTGTATGCAAACATGTGCATCTCTGTGTCTACGTGTGTATTATCTCAGGCTTTCTTTTTTTTTGTCTTTTCTGTTTGTTTTGTCATATTCTGTCTTGTTTATGTTTTATCTCTGTTTTGTTTTATCTTATTGTATTATTATTCTTTAGATACCTATTTGTTTTCCAGTGAGAGACAGACAGCATTGGATTCTGAGAGGAGGGAAAGTGGGGGTACTCTCAGAAGAGCTGGGGGAGGGAAACCATGATCAGAATATAAATATATGAAAAAAAAAATCTGTGGTCAATAAAAGAAAATAAAAATAAATAAAAATTTAAAATTAATAGAGAAAAAACGTAGATTTGGATAAACTGTAAAATTGAATGACTAAAGTAAAACACAGTAAGTATGTACTGTGGCTTGCTCTGAAGGCCTAACTCTTTTTACTAAGAAGTTACATACGACAGAATTACATTTCAAAAGCTGGTAATGCATCACCCACAGCATCACTGGTTGTGAAATCCCACTTTTCATGAGAAATTCATGCTCTGGGTATTAGGGCTCAAGGACTGAATGTTGTCCAGATTTCCTGGAACATTTTAATTCCAACAGAAATGTTGGCACCCACAATAATAAAAGTCCTAGATTCTAGGGTTTGAAGTTGGTTCAACAGAAACTCTATACTTCCTTCTTTCAACACACTGATATTTAAAAAGAAAACAAATAGTATGCAGCATGAATAACAAGAAAATTCAGTTGCTGCAGCTTTGTGAAGCTGAAGACCTGGATCTTAAGGAGGGCAAGTTTTGTTACATTTGTTACATTTGCTGCTGCAGAGCAGAGCACACTCAGCACACGCACTGAC